GAGACAAAATCTCACTCTATAGCCCAGGCTGGAGTGCAATGATCTTGGCTCACTGCAACCTCCTCCTCCTGGGTTCCAGCGATTCTTGTGCCTCAGCCTCCCCAGTAGCTGGGACTACAGGTGTGTGCCACCACACCTGGGTAATTTTTGCATTTTTGGTAGAGATGGGGTTTCGCCATGTTGGCCAGGCTGGTCTCAAACTCCTGGTCTCAAACAATATACCCACCTGAGCTTCCCAAAATGCTGAAATTACAGGTGTGAGCCACCACACCCGGTCCAGGTTACCTTTTTGCAAGGATTAAAGCAGAGGGAACTTCCTTATCGTGCTGGATGAAACTGGCCTGTTTAGGGATTTGCCTATTTTTCCTCCTGATTTCTTGGAAGGTCAGAAAAACAACTTAGTTTTGGCTTGGTTTAACTCCATTTTGGTCTGTTGGGCCTAGGGTAGGAGCCCAGTCTAAACAATGCCCTCCTATTAAGTTTTATTTAATTAACACTGATGATGTTCATTTTGTATAATTTTTTTTAAACACACTCTAAGAAACCAGAATAATGTTGTTGTTTTAGAGATAAGGTCTTGCTCTGTCACTCAGTCTAGAGTCTAGTGACATGATCGCAGTTCACTGCAGGCTCAAACTCTTGGGCTCAAGCAACAATGGTGTTCAGCTGGATCACATGATTACTGTGGTGTCTGCCAGCTTCTTCACTGTAAAGATACTCTCTTTTCCTTTATAATGAATAACTGTGTAAATCTCCCATCCCTTCAAACTCTTAATTTACTCATGTTTTAATGTACATCTGCATGGGCTCATGATCTTTATTTTAGCAAATAGATTATAATTTGTTACTATCATTATTTATTTAATGTTCAAATCCTGACCACACTGGCCAGGGGAAGCCCATTCAAGTTCACTTCTGTGTCCTTTGACAGACCCTCATCATTGTTGGGATACTGTCTTGATTTCTGGTACAAGATGTTCCAAGCTCATCGTGTGCATTCTCAGTCCTAACTCTAGAATCAGCCAGCTCTCCAAGAAGTCCTCATTCCTTTTAGTGAAAAACAATATTTAGAAACCAGATCTGAGCACTAGGTGCGTTCACTGCTCTTCGGGTGTTGCTGCTCTCAGCACACGGAGCTAGGGAATAGAAATATATATGCATATATACACATTTAAAACTATATTATTCATTGATCTCTATGTATGAAAAACTTTAAGTTTTCACCAAAGCATCTAATTCCAGTTCAACAGTTTAGAGTTTATCCTAGTTTTCTCCCTTTCCATAGAGACTTGACTCTCATTATCCTTATCACATTCATTTATTTGATCAATCTTCTGGAGTACAGCTAATCTCCCATCTCATTCTCCCATGTGACAGGCTTTCTCTCCTGTTTGAGCCCTGACTCCCCATGCCAGAAACTGCCCTGCTGCATGGACAGTCTGCTCACCTCTCCTGGGCACTGACATTCCACATCCCTTCACCTGGCATCCCACTTATGCGTCCTGCCCAGGCTCTGCTTCCTCATGCTGGGCCACTGTGGATTCCTCTCTCTCCCAACTATGGAGGTCTACCATGCTCAATTTACCTAAAAAATAGAGGGAAAGGGAGAAGAGAGAAGGGAGGAAGCAGTGTAAGGAAAGTGAGAAGTGGAAGGCAGATGAAGGAGGGAGGGGAGGGAATAGAAGTGGGGTGCGTAGAAGGAGAAAGGAAGAGAGGAGGAAGAGGAGGGAAAAGAAAGAGAATGAAGAGGGAGGGAAGGGTCAAGAGAAGGGTGGAAGAGAGGAAAGGTGAGGAAAAATGTGTACTTTTTTATCTCTTTAAAAAAGGCAATGGCTAGGCTCAGCGTGGTGGCTCATGCCTGTAATCCCAGTACTTTGGGAGGCCAAGACAGGTGGATCACTTGAAGTTAAGAGTTCGAGTTCAACATGGTGAAACACTGTCTCTACTAAAAATACAAAAGTTATCTGGGCGTGGTGGTGCATGCCTGTAGTCCCAGCTACTCGAAAGGCTGAGGGAGGAGTGTCACTTGAACTAGGAAGGTGGAGGTTTCAGTGACCCGAGATTGGGTCACCGCACTCCAGCCTGGGGGTAACAGAGCTAGACTCTATCTCAAAAAAAAAAAAAAAAAAGGCAATGTCCAAGTGCAGTGGCTCATGCCTATAATCCCAGCACATTGGGAGGTCAAGGTGGGAAGATCATATGAGTTTGAGACCAGCTTGGGCAACATAGTGAGATCCTGTCTCTACAAAAAAAAAAAAATAAAAATGTTTAATTAGACAAACATGGTGGCATGGGCTTTAGTCCCAGCTAATTGGGAAGCTGAGGTGTGAGGCTCCCTTGAGCTCGGGAGGTTGAGGCTGCAGTGAGCCATGTGGGCCACTGTACTCTAGCCTGGGTGATAAAGTGAGAGTCTGTCTCAATCAATCAACCAATCAATAAAAATTAAGGCAAAGGCAAATATGGTAAAATGTTAAAGTTCTTTTTTTTTTTGACACTGTTTCTTGCTCTGTCACCCAGGCTGGAGTGCAGTGGTGCGATCTCGGCTCACTGCAACATCTACCCCCTGGGTTCAAGCAATTCTCCTACCTCAACCTCCTGAGTAGCTGGGATTACAGGCACACACCACCATGCCTGGCTAACTTTTTGTATTTTCAGTAGAGACGGGGTTTCACCGTGTTAGCCAGGATGGTCTTGATCTCCTGGCCTCGTGATCCGCCCGCCTCGGCCTCCCAAAGTGTTGGGATTACAGGTGTGAGCCACCGCGCCCGGCCAAAATGTTAAGTTTTGACAAAGCCTGAGTAACGGCTAAATGAGTGTTTGGTGGTTTTTTTTTCCTTTTTTTCTTTCTTTTTTTTTTTTTTTTTTTTTTGGTATTGTCTGTGGTTTGCTTTTCAAACCGTGTGTGATTACGTTTCCTTCTTCTTGAATTATTTCCATTCCATTATGGACTGATATCCTTGTAAATATACTAAAAATGAGTAACTAGAAAAGTGAAATAGCAAACCAAAGACACGTAAAACATAGGCTCTCCAATTTTTATTATTAGATTCAACAGACATAAGATTATTCTGTGAAAGTGCTCTGAAATTTTCTAAATGCATTCTCTCAATTTCTTCATTTCTCCATTGACCAATACTAAGAGTCATGAGAAGCACTGTCTGCTAGCAACCCACAGTTTGAGTAACACTGTAGTCTAGATTTTTTCATGGTCAACATATGACTTTTAAAAATAAGATAAAAAACAGGTCAGGTGTGATGGCTCACACCTGTAGTCCCAGCACTTTGGGAGGCCGAGGTGGGTGGATCATGAGGTCAGGAGTTCAAGACCAGCCTGGCCAAGATGCTGAAATCCCATCTCTACTAAAAATACAAAAATTAGCCAGGGGTGGTGGTGGGTGCCTGTAATCCCACCTACTTGGGAGGCTGAGGCAGGAGAACTGCTTGAACCCCAGAGGCGGAGTTTGCAGTGAGCCAAGATGGTATCACCGCATTCCAGCCTGGGCCATAGAGCGAGACTCTATCTCAACAACAACAACAACAAAAAAATATAAAAAACAAAGACGAAGAGCCTGGATTCTACTTTGAAAAGTCACACGTGTGTTCATGAATTTGTGGGTGACTAGATGAGGCCTTCTGCAGGCATTCATTCCATTGCCAAAGCATCCTGCCAAAATAATGGTGTTTAGGGACTGGTAAGTTGCCCTGACCTTGACTTCCTGGAATCTAGGGATGAAAGAAAGGAGAGAGAGAGTAGACTGGGAGAACCAAAGGGACAGAAGCCCAGGCAGACAGAAGCCCATTAGAAGGCTCCTTACAGAATACAAAAACTTCTAAGCAGAGAGAGGAGACGAGCAGGACGTTGTAAAGAGATTACTTTTAAAAAACTGTGTCTGTGTTTCTGGATCTTCCCCAGACAAGGCAGTCTCCTTTCCAGTCATTCCCGGTCCATGAGCCTGAGTAACTTGGAGTGTTGGCAGCTACTCTGAAAGCCTTTGGCTCCACGTTTTGCAGACAGTGACTACCCCCTGAGAGCCTTGTCTCCTGTCATCCGTGTGGAGATTCTGCAGTCCCCGTTGTTCTGGGATCCTGTAAACAAAATCACAGTGGAAGAGGGGAGATAAGGAACAGATGTGACCGGCACATCTGAAATACAAAACAAAGCACGACAGAAAACAAGGGTGCTGCACAGTTTTTTCCACAGTGGGGATCAGGTTTCTACGGGGTTTGACTTTGCTTTGGCACAGGGCGCTCTGACTGGGTAGTGAGCGTGCTCAGCACAGGAAGAAAGGGGCTCTCTGCGGTGTTCATTTTGAAGGTTTATGTTTTTAGAGCAGCCATTTTGATTTGAAAAATGTGTCAGCTTAATGCCCTCTCCCCAGGGGCCTAAAAGGCCATTTCTTTAAGTGTGAATTTCCCAGCAAAATATTTACTAGATTTTTGGGCTTTTTTTTTTTTTTTTTTTTTAAGTACAGTTAACCTGGAATTTTCCCTAATACTTACAAGTGGTTTTTTCTTTAAATGAACCCTTTAGCTCAGTCGTGTGGAAAATATTATTCTTTATATTTCCTCTGCTGGAAGGCTTTAGGTTGCATTTTCCTTCCCCCGATGGCATTTTTATTCATGCTTGACAAGTCACTTTGACAGGTGGCCCTGGGAATTCTCTAGAGGACAGGATGAGGTCTGGATACCATTCCTGGGTGGTCTGAGAGCAGGGTGTTTAAAGCTAACTTTTCACATTCTGGGTCTGGAATCGTTTCTGAATCCATTCCTCAGAGCTCTGCTGCTTGTTCTATGAGACTTCTCCTTCCAGTGCATGAATTGGGATTTTGGCTGCATGTGCTCATTAAGAAAACCCATGTCACTTGTCACAAGCGTAAAAAGAGTGTTTCAAATGTTCCTGGAAAACTTTCAGCTGGTCCACATCCATGCCTAGGTCCTTCTTATAATTTCCCATATTCCTCCCTGCCCGGGTTGTCCTTCGGAGTTATTTCTGAGGCAGAATGACTGCCACGGGTCAGCCAGTCAGACTGGCTGCCGGTAGGTGATGGGTAAAGTCATTGATGTGGATGATTAACTGACATTGGGGAAGGGGCTCGGGGATGAGGGAGGTGTTCCTAGGCTGGATTTCTATTAGTATGGCCAAGACACAAGATTTATAACAACCCTTCAAGGATTTAATACCCTTTTGTGAATATGATCTCAGAGGATCTTATTAATACAGAGGCTCATTCTGAAGCGAAGAAACTCAATAGACGTAAAAAAGCAGAAGGGGAAAAAACCTAGCCTTTATTCCCAAACATTTACTTAGGATGGATTTTCTTTTTCTTTTTCTTTTTTTTTTTGAGATGATGTCTCGCTTTTCCACCCAGGCTGGAGTGCAGTGGCATGATCTCAGCTCACTGCAACCTCCGCCTCCTGGGTTCAGGCAATTCTCTGCCTCAGCCTCCCGAGTATCTGGGATTACAGGCACCCGCCACCACGCCTGGCTAAGTTTTATATTTTCAGTAGAGATGGGGTTTCACCATCTTAGCCAGGCTGGTCTCGAACTCCTCACCTCAGGTGATCCACTCGCCTTGGCCTCCCAAACTGTTGGGATTATAGGCGTGAGCCATCGCGCCTGGCTAGGATGGAATTTTTTTTTTATGAAGCCCCATTCACATGTAATTTCTTAAATGTTTTGAGCTTATTTATCCTAATTATTTTTTATCTTCTATTTTTTAATTGACAAATAAAAATTGTATGTATTTATGGTATACAACATAATGTTTTGAAATTTGGAGTGTCTAAATCAAGCTAACTAGCATATGCATTACATTACGTTATTTATTATAATTTTTAATTACAAAAAAATGTTTGATGTCATCAGTATGGCTATGAACATACATAAGTAAGCACTTTGAGACTGTTCTGAGATCTTCAGGATTTTTTTTCTTTCCTTCCTTCCTTCCTTCCTTCCTTCCTTCCTTCCTTCCTTCCTTCCTTCCTTCCTTCCCTCCTTCCTTCCCTCCCTGATGGAGTCTCACTCTGTTGCCCAGGCTAGAGTGCAATGGCGCAATCTCAGCTCACTGCAACCTCCGCTTCCCAGGTCTGAGTGATTTTCTTGCTTCAGCCTGCCAAGTAGCTGGGACTACAGATACCTGCTGCCATGCCTGGCTGATTTTTGTATTTTTAGTAGAGACAGGGTTTCACCATCTTGGCCAGGCTGGTCTTAAACTCCTGACCTCAAGTGATCCACCCGCCTCAGCCTCCCAAAATGCTGGGATTACAGGCATGAGCCACTCTGTTTTTTCCTTTCTCATCTATTTTGTGAAAGAAGGTAGTCTTAAAGCTATGGCACTGGGCAACACTGACCTCAGGGGATTAAGGAATATTAACCTGCATTCAAAACAATATCACTCTTCTTTAAAATAAATAAATAAATAAATTGAAACAGGGTCTCACTCTGTTGCCCAGTTTGGAGTGCAGTGGCATGATCATGACTCACTGCAGCCTAGACCTCCAGGGCTCAAACAATTCTCCCACCTCAGCCTCCTGAGTAGTTGGGATTACAGGCGTGTGCCACCATGCCCAGCCAATTTTTGGTTTTCGTTTTTTGTTTTTGTCTTTTTAAATTTTTTTGGTAGAGACAGGGTTTTGCCATGTTGCCAAACGGGTCTTAAACACTTAGGCCTAAGCAATCCACCACCTCGGCCTCCCAAATTGCTGGGATTACAGGCATGTCTGGCCACAGTATGACTCTTAAGGGAATGAAAAGACAAGACTGGCTGGGAGAAATTATTTGTAAAACATGTATCTGATAAAGAATTTAGGCCAGGCTCAGTGGCTCATGCCTGTAATCCCAGCACTTTGGGAGGCCAAGGTGGGTGGATCATGAGGTCAGGAGTTCAAGACCAGCCTGGCCAAGATGCTGAAACCCCATCTCTACTAAAAATACAAAAATTAGCCAGGCATATTGATGGGCGTCTGTAATCCCAGCTACTCAGGAGGCTGAGGCAGGAGAATTGTTTGAACCCGGGAGGTGGAGGTTGCAGTGAGCCGAGATGGTGCCACTGCACTCCAGTCTTGGTGACAGAGCAAGACTCCGTCTCAAAACATATACATATACATACACATACACATACACATATACATATACATATACATATACATATACATATACATATACTTAGAATGTAGATACATATACTTAGAATGAGCAAGACTCTGTCTCAAAACATATACATATACATATACATATACATATACATATACTTAGAATGGTAAAAATATATTTAAAAAAACACTGACACCACCAAATGTTGGGTGAGGATGTGGAGCACCAGGAACTCTCATTCATTCCTGGTTGTAAATGCACAATGGTACAACCATTTTGGAGGACAGTCTGGCAGTTTCTTACAAAGTTAAACGTTCTTACTACATGATCTAGCAATTGTGCTCCTGGGTTCTTACCCAAATGAATTAAAAACTTATGTCTACTCAAAAAGTTGCACATTGATATTCATAGCAGCTTTATTCATAATTGCCCAAAACTGGAAACAATCAAGATGTCCTTTTAGAGATCAATGAGTAAATTGTAGTACATCCTTAAAATGGAATGTTACGTGGTGATAAAAAAGAAATGAGCTATCAACTCATGAAAAGACATGAAGGAAACTCAAATGCATATTTCTAAAAGTAGCTAGTCTGTAAAGGTTACTTTATGATTCCACATATACGACATTCTGGAGAAGGAAAATCTTTGAGGCAGTACAAAGATCAGTGGTTGCCAGGGGTTGGGGAGGAGGGAGGGAGGAGTGGATGTGGGTGAAGCATCACTGTTACAATGGTGGATATGTGATGGTATACATTTGTCAAAACCCATAGAACTGTACAACACAAAGAGTGAATCCTAATATAAACTATGGCCTTTGCCGAGTGTTGTGGCTCACACCTGTAATTTCAGCATTTTGGGAGGCTGACGCAGGAGGATTACTTGAGGTCAGGAGTTTGAGACCAGCCTAGCCAACACGGTGAAACCCTGTCTCTATTAAAAATACAAAAATTAGTCAGGCATGGTGGCACACACCTGTAATCCCAGCTACTCGGGAGACTGAGGCAGGAGAATTGCTTGAGCCCGGAGGCGGAGGTTACAGTGAGCTGAGATCGCACCACTGCACTCCAGGCTGGGTGACAGAGTGAGACTCCATTTAAAAAAAAACAAACAACAACAACCACAAAAAACTATGGCCTTTGTTAATAACAATATATTCATATTGGTTCATCAATTGTAACAAATGTACCACATTAATTCAAGACATTAATAATAAGGAAAACTAGGGGAGATGGGAGTATATGGAAACTCTTTGTATTATCTGCTTAATTTTTATGTAAACCTAAAACTGCTCTAAAAAGTAAAGTGTAATAATTTTTTTAAAAAGAGACTTAAAATGATCAGCTTTCATGACGAAGGGAAACTCTATCTTCTACTATATTTCATATCTTTGCTGGTTCCTCAAGGGCCCTGGTCTAGCTTGTTCACCATTATATCCGCAATGACACATAGATGCTCAATAAAGACTGCTTAATCAGTATATTCAAAAGGCTTAGCCATTAAAACCTGCTCTTGGCTGGGAGCGGTGGCTCATGCCTGTAATCCTAACACTTTGGGAGGCTGAGGTGGGTGGATCGCTTGAGGTCAGGCATTTAAGACCAGCCTGGCCAACATGGTGAAACACCATCTCTACAAAAAAAATACAGAAATTAGCCAGCAGTCTAATTTCTGGTGGCAGAAATTAGTGGTGGCAGTCACCTGTGGTCCCAGCTATTTGGGAGGCTGAGGTGGGAGGATCGCTTGTACCTGACAGGTTGAGGCTGCAGTGAGCTGTGATAACACCGTGATCAGCCTGGGTGACAAAGTGAGATCCTGTCTCAAATAACAACAACAACACTTTTGTTCTCATCATTTTATACTCTGTTTGAACAGACAGAGCTTGACCAAGCACAAACCACTGTATTAATAGTTATTATGTATGGAACATTTAATGTGTATCAGCCATTTTTCTAGAACCTTGACATGAAGTACTTAATAATTCATTTACTCCTCATAAGAACCCCATGAAATGGTACTTGTTTTCCAGATAAGGAAACTTGGCCATAAAGAGTTTAAATAGGCCGGGTGCAGTGGCTCACACTTGTAATCCCAACACTTTGGGAGTCTGAAGCAGGTTGATCACTTGAGATCTGGAGTTCGAGACCAACCTGGCCAACATGGTGAAACCCCATCTCTACTTAAAAACACACAGACACACATACACAACAAAAATTAGACAAGTGTGGTAGTGCGCGCCTGTAATCCCAGCTACTTGGCAAGCTAAGGCACGAGACTCGCTTGAGCCTGGGAGGCAGAGGTTGCCATGAGCCAAGGTCACGCCACTGCCACTCTAGCCTGGTTGACAGAGCAAGACTCCATCTCCAAAAAAAAAAAAAAAAAAAAAAAAAAACAAAGAGTTTAAATAACTTGTTCAAGGTTACAGAATCTGTGAGTTACAGAGACAGGATTCAAACCCAGAGAGTCTAGCTCCAGAGGCCATACTCTTTGACAACTCACTACAATAAAGCTGTGAGAATAAAGATGTGTACCTCCTCACTTAAGGAGATTTCAGTATAGGATAGTGAGGCATGAAGACTAGACAACTGTGCAGGGGGCTGATCTCTGTCCTCTGGAGGGCTCACTCAGCACAGCTCTAATGGATACACCTCAGCTGGGTGGCTTGTTTATCTACATCCTGAGCCTAGTTTTTCCTTCAGACACTATCACAGTTGACATTACTTACTGATTGTTTCTTCTGTGTTTATCATTTCCCCCAATTAGACTCAAACCCCTTCAGGTCAGGGATGACTTCTTATAATTGGCTCTCTTCCTGCATGGTGAATGGTTGTCTTAGTCAGTTCAGGTTGCTATAATAAAATACCTTAGATGGGGTAATTTATAAACAACAGAAATTTATTTTTCACAGTTCTAGAGGCTGAGAAGTCCAAGATCAAGGCACTGGCAGGAT